CCGTCTTATGTGACACTTATTGCTATATATTGGCCAATTCACTCAATAACTACATAAATTATTATATATATGTAATTATCATATATGAGCTATATTACTGTTAAGTTTCATTAAAATCCATTCAGTATTTTTAGGTGAAAGAGTAACAAAGATCCATACAAACGTAAGATTGAAATTAAAAACGTAAGTGGTTAATATACAACTTTAAAGCGTTGTAGATCCTAATCAATCATATAAAATGAAAAATGGTGTTAGGAACCAAATATGATTTTTGATTATCTAGACAGATACCCCACTCGACATATTTTGTCAACTTTTTTTTTTATTTCGGCACAATATGGCGCCTAATTTTGCCCATATTGAATTTTGATTACTATCATATCTTTAGTAGCACTCCCATGATTGAGACGAATCGATTGATGTATGAATCATCAAAATCGGTTCAGGCGTTTGGTCTCTAGTCTGCCACAAAGGAACAAACATACATATATAGACTGTTAAACACATAACCCTGTCTGCGCGTCGCGCTTCGCGCTCTTGCATTGCGCAGCCGGGTAATAACCCTCCAAGCGGTCAGTTCAGGAACGGAATATATTTCACAGCGGGTACTCATTTTTTAAGTGAATCAATACATCCCAATATATCCTGCCAATCGTATTGAATTTTATCGACGGGTTTAGGCCACGTCCAGGATTTTAGCGACTTCTTCATTAAAGAGACATATCCCCTTCGTTAGTTATTTTTGTAATTTCCTTCATAAAAAGTGTATTAATAACCACTTACAATGAATAAAAAATGTTTACTTTTGAACGGCTTATGTTTGGGTTTACTTTGCTCCAGGCGCAAAGATACCAAATCTTACCAAAGAAAATATGAGCACGCCATAAATGTGAGATTAGATTATGACTAACTCAGCAATCCAATGAAATATTTACGTATTCGTTTACCTGACTATATAATTAATAACATTAAAATATAATTACCCTAATACATTACGGAGATTTCCAGACAGAAGTGGCTTTTTCGGATACAAAAAAAAATACTTTTAAGGTCTTGCACGACAGCTGCACCTGACTTATGAAAAAAATTGCGGATGAAAATTTCTACAGTTCTGTGTTGCCACTTATAAGTAAGATGTTTCGGGTGCATTCACAGTTAAATGAAATGTTGCACCGATTAAGCGATATAACATTTTAGAGAATTGGAGCATAATTACCCCTAAGAGCAAAGTAGGTACATTTTACGGTATATTCTGTGTTAAAAGATAAAATTATGCCTTCGATGCTTTTATAAAGAACACAAATAGTTCAAAAGCAAATAACAAATGCCCCGGCAACACTTCTCATTCGTAAAACTGTACAAACATTTTTTGCCCAAAAATTACGGTTTGTCGTGAATGTTATTTACGTAATCGCCATTTTGTTATCAAGAAAAGGACAACAATACAGCTCAGCCGTTCGGACTTTGATGCGGACTCGCTGTTTCGCTGGAGCTGCGTTGATCGTACTCGTGTCTCGCTCGCCCGATTGAATGGTTATATACAGAAGTGTGCGTGTGTGACAGTTGCTTATCTAGTTGAGTCGGAGCATATTTTATTTGATGCTGGTCCGAACGTACCGTATCTTCCTTTTTTGTTTCAATGTAAGGCCATAATACACACATCAAAAGTGTCTAGGGATCAACATATATTTTTGCAATAACTTTTCTCCTGATTGATATTAATTAAAATTTTCTTTAAGGATTCATCAAATAAAGTGTTTTCGTTTGTCACAGTAACGATAAACCAAGTCACCTTTGCATTAATAAAGAAATTTGCCATTTTCCTAATAAAGGGATTTTTGACATTTGAACCACTAACACAAAAGTTCGAAAAAAAGACTGAAATAACAGTTTTCTCTAAAATTTTATTGGGTAACTTAAACAATTAATAATCCGTATTTCTACCGCGAACACTAACAACACAAGAACATCGGTTTGGCATACTCAAAATGAGTTCATCCAAATCACGCTGTGGAATGGCCGCCCATGTTCGTTGCAACAACAAAAAAAGGTCTTCTTGCGACTGGATACCCTCCATATTCGGCAGAGCTCTTCTCTGTAGCATATCCCATGCATGCTCAATCGGGTTCAAGTCTGGCGACTGAGCAGGCCAGGGCAGGACATTGATGTTAGCTGCGGCGAGAGTCTGTCTTACAACTCTTGCGGTGTGCGGTCGTGCATTATCATGCATTAACTGAAATAAGGGACCGATTTGCACTTGTAGAGGAACGATGACGTCTGATACAATCGTCTCAGCATAAATTTGAGCGTTGAGGTTGCCTCTGATCCAAATCAACTCAGTTCTTCCGCCGATCCAAATACCCGCCCATACCATGATGGTTCCACCACTATAAGGATGGACTTCCTGGCAGGATTTTAATCGCTGTTGGCGTCCAGGGGTTCTCCAGTGTCGTATACGTCTTGTATCCGGTCTCATACCAAAACGAGACTCATCAGAAAAGCACACGAAACGCCATTGTTCTTCTGCCCAATTTCTGTGTTCAAGAGCCCATTGATATCGAATCCTACGATTGTGCATTGCTATAGGTGGTACCCGTAGCGGTCTTCGGGAATGAAGGTTCACTTCATGCAAGCGGTTTCTGACTGTTTGGTCGCTAATTAAGTTCCCTGAAGAGTGATGAAGCCTCACGGCTAACATCATGGCGGTTATTGTTGGAGCTCTTCGAGTTAAGATTTGAATGTATCGGTCTTGTCTCCGTGTGGTGCAGCGATACCGTCCTCCATGGCGCTCAGCCACGGTACCAGTGCTTCGGTATCGTGTCCAAAGTCGACTGATAACACTCTGACTTGTATTCAGAGCTAAAGCCACAGTACGTTGCCGGGAACCAGCTTCTATCATTCCCACGGCTCTGAGCATTTCTTCCCTGCTTAAATGACGTCGCCGCTCCATAATAACGTTGGTTTTAATCAGTAGTAGGGAAACAGTAGCACTAATAATGTCTTCAATGCCTTGTATGTTTTTATAGGGAAAATATTGACAGCTGATTTTCATCTTTTACTCGAATTTGATTCACAGTTCCTGATTCAAATTATGAAATGCACCAAAAAGGATCCATATAAATTTATAAAATCATAAATTTATTACAAAGCCACATCTCAATCTCAAGAAATCCGCATAAAAATGCTTGATCCCTAGACACTTTTGATGTGTGTATATTGAAATGGGAAATAAACGTCACAGCTTTTAACTATAACTTTATTTTACTTAAATTAAATTAAAACATCTTTCACTGATTGATACAGCAAATTATCAACGTAACTGTATACATAAACATGAAACAAATAAATGAACATAAAAATGAAAAAAAAATAAGTTTAATTAAATCGGAGGCTAGGCTAATTGGTGTGAGCGATGGAACTACATATTTCTTTATTTATTTTATTATTATTATTTCTTTTAAATAGTACTGCTTTATATTCAAAGTTTAGTTTTGGTATTTATTTAATATGATTTGTTGTTTTAAATTTACATTTTAGTTACATCAGTCCAGTAAGCATTCGAGTCCAGTAATCCAGTTGAATAAATTAGTATGCTTTCATTCACTCTTTCGTTCATCTACTCCAGTATTCTTGCAAAAAAGATATTCTAGTCGACTAAAATGGCCTTCCTTTTTTTATCCAGTAGCAACCCCAATATCATTATTTTACTTGAATGTTCTATTGGATTGATGTGAACGACCATTCTAGTATCTATCTAGTACACTGCCAGCGTGCGTAGTGTCCGCGCACGTTTGTTCGTGCTACAAGAATACTGGATTACTAGACTCAAACGCATACAGGAATAACGTAGTGCAAGTGTTATTTTGATTCAATCTTCTGTGTTTCGTGCGCAAGCATCAATTCATATTTTTGAGAGATTGAAGAACACTTTTTTATTATTATTAAGATACTTTTGGAATGTGTAAAATTTTACATTAGCTAAGAGTTCAGTGCCTTATATAGTTGACACAAATACATGATTGTAGATAGATGGGCCATATGTATGCAATGATTTAAGAGCGTGTGCTGCTTTAAGCGGGGCACGGAGCGAGCGTGCGCAAGGCGTGTTTATTTCATGTTATTTCAAAGACCAGCGCTGAGAGGCGGGTCTCCCGTCGCAACAGCAACGGCGCGAGCGGCGGGGCACGCCTCGCGGATGACGGTGTTCGCTAAATTGGCTGTCTTCTGTGCTCTCGTCGGCGTTCTCTTTTGGCTAAGTAGTGTTATCAACAAAAATAATCCATTATAGACTGTTCACCCGCGCAATCGAAATTGTACCGGAGGCGCTACGAAAGCCACCTTTCCCTCGGGGGGCTGCAACGGGTTGAACGGGTCCCGCGACCGAGCACGGAGCGGATCTCCGCGACGGACGTCCGCTCCGTGCTCCCGCTTAAAGTAGCGCACGCCTTAAATATCCTAAATAAACTTAAATTTTGCCGCCATACCTAAATCTAGTAATAAATATAATATGAATTTACAAAAAATATATGCTACAAACCTAATGAATAAATATTTCCGTACTTCCTGGAGAATTTTATTAATCTTTAGTACCTATATCTTTACAACATTATAATTAACATTTTTACGGCTCACTTTTAAACAAGTAGCGAGCGTAATAATACTTATGGAGTTTTCTGTGTTACAAGGATGCTTTCTTTATTCAAATTGGATGCAAAAAACTTCTCTTAACATGACAGCTTCTAAAATGCTTAAAATATTTATAGTTTCCAGCAACTTAATTTCGTCAGATCCCATTTCAAATGGATATTTTGTTTATAGATTAGAGTGATTGTATGACAATAGTCTAAACAAAACTAAGGAATTATGTATGCAAACAGTATGCAAACAGAATCCGCATGTTTGAAGCACAAAAAACACCCATAATAATGCATCTATCTACATAGTATATTACTATTTTTAAACCAAAACCCAACGTCTTCACTTATACAACAAAATTATAACTATTTTTCTTCCAGTTCTTTGAATCGAGCCTTCAGTTGTTTGGTGTAGCTGTCCAGACGGTACGCATTCACCTCAAACTGCGACACCCGAGCATCGATGTCATCTATTTGCATCAACAGCGGCTTGATCTGCTGATTGTCTGCCAGTTCAAACAAAACAGAACTTCAATCAACAAAGCCTAAGTGCATACATTGATTTACTATTTGAATGATACAAATAGGGACGGTACCCTTACACCCGGTTCACTCGAGGCGATTTTAGTTCATCAACTGCTAAATCGCATGCGATTTAACCGTCTGAATAGACTTTCAATCAAATTGTAGGAATCAAATTGAAGAAAAGCAATTGATCGATAAAAGTTGATCAATTTAGATCGCCTCGTGTGAACCTGGTATTAGCATGAACCAATATCGAATTCAAATAGTTGAATTCAATCTCGATACGCGTCAAATGTCAAGAAGTTTTGTACCACAACGAACGAAACGAGAATTTAATATCTTCCATTCAAAATTTCAAAATTCTAATCAATTACTAAATACTGGTATTTTTTTTTCTATGCCAGTACAGCATACTCTTTGGAACTAAATTTAGATCTAGTAATAAATATAACTTACAAACAATTTAATCACTAAGGCACAGTACCCTCTACAGAAAATTTTATAAATCATTCTGTTTCCATTGATAAATTGTGTTGTAATTTCATTGATGGATATTAGTTGGAACATTTTAGTGTATTTTGGGGCTGAGTCGGTTTGTTATCTGCTTCTTTTGGTTTTCTGGGGTTTCGCTGTGCAGCGGCGATGTATATAATCTATTTACTGATATCTGTCACTTTTATGCCGCTTGAATATAATGGTTTTATATAAATTAATATAACTTCACGTCTATTTGTATGAATGCATTTTAAAATTGTTTGTATAAGCCTTTTTCTTACACATTCTATATAGGTGTTGTTACCTGAATTAAATAAATTAAAAAAAGAGACTTACACATTTCATTGTACTCTGTTAGAGTTTTATTTAGATTGACTGCCAAATTTTTAAGATCAGCGTATTTGGTGATTGTTAATCTGTTGATTTCCTCCAGCAAGTTGTAGTGATCCTGGAAATAAGAAATTGTTGTTACATAGTTTGACTTAGAATTTTATACCTACTTATAATAAAAATTAGGTACGCCAAAATATGCTACTATGACCCTTATTAATGGGATATTAAAAAAAATACATATTAACCTAAGTTACATAAGTCACCGGAATATAATACATTCCGTAGGTTTATCAATTTCTTAGTTTTATTAACTTTCGTAAGAATATACATGAGAGATACAAATCAATTATGTCTGTTACCTCTTCATACTTAAACTGCTGATCCGATTTAAATGAGATTTGGTATAGGGATAGTTTGAGTCCCGAGACACGAGGACGAGGACATAGAATTGTTTTTATCCAGAAATAATGCTTTGAGGGGGTTGGAGGTGGAACTTTGTATGGGAAACCAATTTATCGCAGACGAAGTCGTGGTGGTGGTCCACTACTTTACAATAAATTACCAAGGTTAGCAACAGAACTTCCTTTAACTTTACTATAATCACATGGAAGAATGAGGCAAAATGAACAAATTATATAATTATTTAAGAACTTAATTTACTTGTTTAATTGCGATTAATAATATTGGTGAACAGTCACAATAGATAGACAATAACGATAGGGCGGACTATGCACTATCACTTGCGCTGCTTTATTTGCGCACTATTGTATTGGGAAAGTATTTGTATCTTCATGTCAACGTTTCTATGGAAAGAGCTAGTTTATCTTATGTCTGGTAGGGGCTGTCGCTGCTTAGCCTCTATAGAAAATTTGACGTTGGCAATAAGAATACGGATCGATTAAAGTTTGTGCTTGGGGTCGTGAAACCTTAACTACCGACAGAAACACAAACATCACTAAAAAGTGGTTCTATTTTGCAGTTGTGCAAGTTTTATTTTATAAAATAGTGTGTATTTGAAATCAACACAGTTTCTGATAATACCCTAACGGGTATTATATCTATAATATCTATATATCTATTAGATATTTATACGAAGAGGGGTATATTCACCCTAGGGCCATGGCAACGGGCGGCAGAAGCCGTGATAGACATTTTATTACTGACCCGTTTGAGTTATTTATAAAATAAGAAAAAAAAAAGCCGGCCAAGTGCGTGTTGCTCGGCGTCACCACAATATACCTTGGAAAGAGTCTATATTTTAAGCAATTACTTCGTCTTCACTTCTACTGTTTTCTTCTAAGGATTTTTAATTAGGTCAGAATTTACTAATACATAAGTTGAACGACAATTACTACTCAACCAAGAAACATATTTAAACCTGTGATAATTTTATTTAAAAGTTCATGAAAAGCACTATTATCATGAATTTTTGCAAGTTTTTCAAGCCAATAGTTTTGCTTTTGGAGGGAGCGGGACGCCCGCCCTACACGGACAAAAATTAGCACTTTAAAGTTCAATCTTTCGAAAACTGATCATTCAATCAAAACCCCTAAGTAATTTTATATGACCTATTCAACGATACCCCACACGATGGGGTAAACGATGAAAAAAATAAAATTACCTCCAGGTTACATGCAGGGACGCTACCCTAAAAATATTAAAAAAAACTACCTTTGTGTTGATTGTAATACATATCTCCACAAAATTACGGCTCTCTAGTGCTAACAGTCTCCAAGCAAAACCGGGGACAGACAGACGGACATGACGCAACTAAAAGGGTTTCTCGTCAGTACTACGGAACCCTAAAAATAAAGCAAATAGCTGTGTCTTGTCTCAACATGGAGTTCGTTTCATATAAGCCGAAAAGTCCGGCTTTTCCTAAGAAAAACGAAAATACACTATTGCTTAATAAAAAAATTATTATAATATTTTTAATACGTGCCTCGTTTTGAGAGGTATCTGACCACTATGTATGTTCTACGATTTTTCATAGTTTTCGAGTTACTGTATGAGTTATTTTTTAATGAATTTTTATAAAATTGTGACCGGATCAGTTTCACAAAATTACTAAAAAAAAGTAGGTTCTACGATTTTTTTTTGCTGTTAAATCTCTATGAACTGTGCATTTATGCATAAAATAAACAGCAACTGTAATGGAAGTCATTAAAAAAATTACCTTGCACTACATATCAAAAGGGTAGACCAGAAATTCTGCGACTGGTGGACGCTTTAACTAACGCTATGAAAATTTTATTCTGCGCCTTTAGTTTAATCAAATATTATAAATTTTGCTTTGGTGATTGCATAATTATTTAATTTAGCGATCTAAGACAGTTGCCACCAGTGTCCAAAACAACAGACGGGAATTATTGCTTTCGTCAACCTGCGACATTTACGTCGATTGGTATTGTATAAAGGGTGATTAACAACATTTGAAGTCAACCTCTGGCGTCTACATATTTAGTTTCTGTGAATTATATCAAATTATGAGACTAGGATATGACACTGTATATCATAATCTTAGAGCCGGACGTTGACATGACAATGCAGCCGCTACCAATTTTAGATAGTCGACGAATAAAAGTTAATGAATTTTATATTTACTTCTAAACTACTGAAAATAACATAAGCAAGAGATGACTTTTTGAGTAATATTAACTATAAAATTTACTTGCATTAGATACATAGGTAACGACTTGATTTAACTTTCACACATTTTTGCGAAAATTGAGGCCCTGACCCTGCTGGTAAGGTCTCTATGTATTAATAAATCATTCGGTCTTAAACCACCGTAAGGTGCTTAATAATTCTAACGATATTAATTCCCTTACTGAAGTAATAAGACTGCGGTATATGCCGTCTTATAATTTTAACTAGTGTGAAATAAAAATTATAAATTTAAAAAATCAAAAACCCGACAGCTAATATATGTGTATTACTTTAAATAAAAACTGAAAATAAAAAAAAAACAAGTGGACTGGACTTGTTAACACACTTTAGTTAAAATTATAAGACGGCATATACCGCAGTCTTATCACTTCAGTCGGATTTTTTGATTTTTTAAATTTATATTTTTTTTTATTAAAGATACACCTTATCAACCGTCGAATTTATAATACTGATACTCAGGTGAATTTGTATTTTTATGTTATAAAATGTGCTCAAAAATAATCGACTTAGTTGTTCAAAAGTAAAATGTAAAAAAAGTAAGGTAAAGGAATCTATTAACATTTGCTGAAAATGTAGCTCATAACCTCACCAATACTAACTCTGAATGAGATTTAATAATACTTTAATTTATTTACCTATTCCATATTTAAGCATTTCGCAAACTAGTAAAAATCTTACAGAAATTTTAATAGATCTCTGTACAAAACTCGAATCCACAGAGGCGCAAGCCTGAGGATTCCCCGCATGCCGTGATAAACGACGATAAAGACGCCATTGCGTCATTCGTTTACGAACAGTCGCCTGCTGAACAAGTCAATCCAGGAGAAAATTGAACACCATACTGTGATAAAATTCCTTACAAAGCAAGGAAAGAGCGCTCAGACCATTTTGAATGAAATGGGAGCCGTTTATGGGGAACATTGCCCAAGTAAGTCAATGATTTACAAGTGGCATGGTCTTTTTAAACATGGTTGAGCGTCTATTGAAGACGATCCCCGCTCAGGAAGGCCCGTTGAAGCCACCACGTTAGACATCGTCGAAAAAGTGAAGAAACTTGTACTGGATGATGCCCGTTTGAAAAAAAAACAGTTATCTGTAGTGTTGAGTAGGACTTACAAGAGGCGGTACATTTGTCCCGGACATGACGTCAAAATGTAAGAGCGGCTCAAAATTTTAAAATGTACTACTTCACATTAAATGTAGCGATAGGCGCGTCTCGTTACTCACTCACTCTTCGTAAGTCTGAGAGAGAGCGAGGCATGACATTTCATTTAAGTCCTCTACGGTACAGTCACAGCGGTGACACTCTGTGTACGTGAGAGTTCCAGCGTCAGTGACCTTGAGCAGGAGCGTGTATGCGCTAGGGTTGAACTTGGAATTTAGACTTGTGCCAATGAATATTTATGCATAGTAAGTTATTAAATGTAAACTGATTCAAGGATACTGGGGTAAATAATGAAGGACAGGTTTGATTTTATAATCAATTTTTAATCTTTTAATGTAGGTACTATAACAAATTGCTAGCTTTTATATATTTTCTCCTTTTTCGATTCGTTTTATAATTCTTATTATTATCTAAATAATAATAAGATTGCGTAGCGTAGTCAGTCTGTGCGTGCAATGCAGTGCAACGCTATTATTTTACTATTTCGCTACTGCCATCCCTTCGGTCTCGGCAGTCGGCGACTGCCGTCTCCACGCCCCGCGCGCCGCGCAACGCCCCCGCGCACCTCCAGACACCCACACATAGCCGCGGGCGATTTTACGAGCACACATGCTTAAGTGTCGCTTCTTTTCGCGTAGTGTATATATTCTGTGGTACAGTGCAGTAGTACCTATCTCTCGCTTATCTTAATAGTCTGTGTTACAGTGCGACAAGGATCTTGTGGTGCATCGCATGACACAAACTGGAAATAATGCTGTCTCACTGTGTTTTCTATAATTAATTTGCAGTACAACGCCCTCTTGTCAAAGTCATCCAAATACGCCAAATAATCCTTGTCACTCGCACTGGGTTGCGTTCAAAATCTACACTCTAGGTGCAACAAATATCTAAGTTGACATTAGCTTCATACATTTTATGTCAAAATTTAAACGTCAGGGTAAAAGTTTCACTCAGAGCGTAGGTATTGAACGCAGCCCAGGGTTACGTTCAGAACTTACGCTCCAGGTGCTACTCGTGCACACAAATGTAATGTCGACCTTCTGTACGCCTCAATGTCATATTTGTACTCGTCACTTTCTAATGTATTGCCAAGCTTCAGTACGCCTCGCCTCATTTGAAGTGGGACATTGTACTGGCTCAGTACAAAAAAGAGGTTACTCTTACAAACTCTTTTTCAAGTCGTGTCCTACCCAACACTAGTTATCTGCATTAGTTGGAGTATCAGATACCACCATTTTGCGAATCCTACATGACCACCTGGGTATGACAAAAGTCAGTACCGAGAATGTTCACGCCGCTTCAGAAACAGCAGCACGTCGATGCTTCAAAACATTTTTTGGAGTTGTGTGCAGACGAACCTGCACAGATTTTGGAGCGGATTGTTACCGGAGATGAAACATGGGTTCATCACTTTGAAAGATTAATCCATAGGTATAATAAATGTATTGAGCTTAAGGGTAATTACATTGAAAAGGAAAAATAGTTTTATAGCTTTATTTTATTTAGAACCGTTTCATTCCACGAACTTTTAGACCTCCCCTCAGATTGGCGTATTTAAAAATCAGAATAATATAGAACAAAATCTAATTTCCAAACGTAAACAAATTACGCCTTCCTTTAATATTCAAGCAAGACTAATCCCAATGTTTGCGCAATAAGACGTAAAATTGAGTGCGGGCGGCCGCTGACTACGAAACCATGCAACTGTCTCGCTTCTGCACGCGGTGTTCGTGATCTATCCGTTCGCTTTACTCTCCTTTAGTAAAGCGTGAACTAGATGAAGTACTGAACTAATTGGGACCCGAATGAACGACTGAAGGAGATATACTTGCTAAGTGAACTAGCCCAATTGAAAGATTCATTTACAAACGACTCAACTACAGTTAGTTCAAGAAATGTAGCTGGTAGACTAAGCACTCTTTGATCATTTTGTTTTCAAGCTTCCTTCGGGCTTGTCCTAAGGCTGTACCCTGGGCACGCCACTGCTCAACGTTACCTGTCCAGCAGACATTTCGCCTTGAAGATAGTCATTGGTGCGCTTGAACAACTGAGTGGCCAGACGACTGATTACAGGGTCATGTGGATCGAGTACTTCGAAGCTGGAGCAGCTGGGAGACATTTGAAGTTCTGCAAATAATACAAAAAAGGTATCTTTTTAGGTTATATTTATTGTTAAAATCATTAAACTGTACACAGACTTAGATGAATATGGGTTATTTTACAAAATTATATCTTAAAATCAACTATAAACATGGCTTACTCTTAAGCCCCAATGAAGTAAACAGAGAGTATATTTTTGACTTTTTAGTGTGTTAGTAAAAGCGTGTTTTTAGTTTTTTAAACTATTAGTTTACTTTTCTCTTTTTAGTTTATTACAAAACATAGAACGAGTTTATTGCGACTGAATACGTATCCTCTCCATTTTCGATAAGGCTTCACTATTGCAAGACTTTTGTATTACCCCACTTTAACGTGAAATAAACACAATATTAAGACGAATGTAATGAACCCAAACTCGATATGTTTACTAATAGGCAGTCCAAGGTTCCATCAGCCACCTTCCAGTCTCATCATCAGATCAGCTCGATAGTACAAAAATATTGTATTGTCATCTACTCTTCATATAATTGCCAATCTTAATTATTACCTACAATGCGAAGAGATGGCGCAGCCTTGCAGCTTAAGGCTAGGAAAATTTCGACGCGACCATCAGGGCCGTGGTAGCATTATTGGTCGGTGCATTCGCCCGGATTGCGAAGGGTGCGGGTTCGAGTCCCGTCCGCTGCCTGGTCCGCGTGGATTTTTTTTTTCTAGTAAAACTTTTCTTTAGATTTAAACATCTAGCAGTTAAATGCTTAAAAAAAACATAAGTTTTATTATGTTAAGATGAATCTCTTGAGCCCAAACTCACTCACAACAAACATATAGGTGCACACTATATTTATTTGAACTCATTTAAATTAAACTGTAATTAATTAGTACTGAAAAGTATTGAATATGTTTCTACATCTTTCACTATTACGTATTTCCCTTCTTAAATCCTTAGTTCCCTAAGCTGGCACAATAACTGATAAACTTACCTGTGAAATGATATTCCACAACCAGGATACCATTCTTTATTACACCCACTTACAGCACATATACTGTTTACCATTTTAAAAACAATGTAACATATGGTTCAAACAATTTAGCCTGATTTAAACCAACAGGAAACCAATTAAAACACGCATATACGCCTATAATGCGAAGAGCTGGAGCTGCCTTGCACCTTAAGAATGGCTAGAAGAATTTCGACATGGCCATTAGGGCCATGGTAGCATTCGGGGCTCCGTGCCCGGGTAGAGGGGGTGTGGGTTCCGGTCGAGATGCATCTCAAGTATCTCGGCCTGACCCTAGACCCCCGATGGAGCTGGGAGGAGCACTTCAGGCTCCTCGCTCCCACGCACTCGGTCGCCTCCTCCCCAATGTGGGGGGGGCCGAAGGCGAAGTGCCGTCGGCTTTATCACTCCGTGATAAAGTCGATGGCGCTGTACGGGGCCCCGGTCTGGGCGGAGTGCCTCTCGTCCCGCACGAGGGCCCTCCTGCGAAGACCGCAGAGGGTCATAGCGACCCGGGCCGTGCGGGCTTACCGCACGGTCAGCCACGGGGCTGCCTGCGTCCTAGCAGGCACGCTCCCGTAGGAGATTGATGCCCTGGTACTGTCCCAGGTGCATCAACACCGGGTCGCGGCGAGAGAGCGGGGCGAGCGACCCGTTCTAGAAGAGATAGAACGGGTCCGCACCGAGGCGCAGAGGGAGGCTCTGCGCCGATGGGTGGAGGCACTCGCCAACCCAGCCGCTGGCCACCGGACGATCGAGGCGATTCGTCCGGTGTTGGAGGAGTGGGTAGGGCGCCAGCGTGGCACCCTCACCTACCGCCTGGTGCAGGTACTGACCGGACATGGGTGCTTCGGTCACTACCTACACCGAGTCGCCCGTCGGGAGGAGACGCCGCGGTGCCATCACTGCGCCTCTCCCGACGACACGGCCGAGCACACGTTGATCGTGTGCCCGGCCTGGCGAAATGAGCGCCGCGATCTGATCGCGGCGCTCGGCGGAGGAGGCCTCACGCTGCCAAGTATGGTAAGAGCCATGCTTGGTAGCGAGAGAGCCTGGAGGGTTGCCGCCTCCTTCTGCGAATCGGTGATGACGCAGAAGGAGGCAGCGGAGAGGGAGCGGGAGGAGGACGCTCTAGCCGCCCCTCTCCGGCGTAGACGGGTGGGCCGAAGAAGGCAGGCAGCGGTGACTGCCGGTCTTCGACTGCCCTAAGGTGGTCTGGGCGCGGCCTGACCAGCCGCGCGTCCTACGTGCCGTGGCATAGGCCACCACGTCTGGGGACTGCCTAGTACCCTAGCGCAGTCCCCCTGAGGCGCGTCGCCCGGTTCACTCGTTGGGCCGGGCCTGCCCGGGGGCGTGCTCGGAGATGTAACGCACGCAGGTGCGTCGGCCCCGAGACCGCCCCCAGTAGGATCAGTGTGGCCTTCCGCACTGGTCCTGCTTGAGTAGGGTCGGCACTGTTTCCCGTGCCGGCGAGTCCCACACACGCCGTGCGCCTAGTCAGCGTCACGGTATGGTGCGTAACTGCATTTCCCCTCGTCACAAAAAAAAAAAAGAGGGCCATGGTAGCTTAATTGGTCAGTGCATTCGCCCGGAAGGGTGCAGGTTGGAGTCCCGTCTGCTGTCTGGTAAGCATGGAATTTTTTCTAGTTGTATTTTCTGTAGGTTTAAATAAATATTGACTTAACGAAGCTGTAACATATTATGTTAACCACAGCCTTAAAATGTAAAAAAAACCATTTCACAAATTGATTTGTAGTTGCCGTATGCCTGTTTACTAGTTCCTTATTCATTTATAATATACCGTAAACATTCCGATTTAAATAGTGTTTCTAATTCTATGTAAAAATAATCACCTAAGTAAATACATATTTTCTATTCGTAATTGAACAAATAATCATGATGGCAATTGTGTGAGAGGGACACACCAAGGTAAAGTTGGTCTCTTTCAAGCTCATTTTCTATGCGGACACTGAGTTATTAGATAATGTACCATAGCTTATAACAGGTGCGTCTTAATTTGACTTGACAAAATAATTCCAGTGAGCATTCCAGTTGTACGTAGTACTTATTAGTTCCATGGTCAAAATTGACTTTAACCTACAAAAATATTAATATTTAATATTTTTTTTCTCGAGTTCTATTTGGTTCTGTAAAAAAAAGAATTTGTGTACGTGTTTCTAATAATTAATACTCTCCGTGACAAAAATTGCTGCTTGCTACAAACAACTAATGGAAAGCTGAGCCGTCTTCCTAGATTAATGCACCACCCAAAACAAAAAGATTTTTTCAAATCGGATAGTACTTCCTGAGATTAGTGCGTTCAACTAAAAAAAAAAGCATAAATCTAAGCCTGAGAACAAAAACTATTTTCGTCACTACAGCTATTTAGTGGCGTTATAGTTAAGTAGTAGTGGATCTGGCGTTATAGTTAAGTAGTAGTGGATCACTTAATAGCTCGGTATTATGATCAAGCAGTTCGCGAATAGGCCTAATAATCATCAAAAAGAGATGTGACCGACTTTCGAGCGCCCGTTCGATGCCTTACAACATGGAATCGAGGTACCAAATGTGGCAATCACCAGCCTGCCATCACCTACGTAGCATAAGCATTTGTACATAACTTCAACTTAACTTCATCTCACCCCTTTATTCTTTTATTTTACCCCTTTACCCTTACAGTATCAAACTATTTACCCTTGTTTCGTGCCTCTCGAGTCCATTTTTCTACTTCTTCTTCAGACATAGTTGTTATACCGAATCAACTTTGAAGCGAACTTAAGCTCAAATATTCTAGATAGACACAAACATAAATACAAAATAAATCGAACCGAATATTTCTCTTATGAAACAGCAACTCCAGCCAAAAAGATGAAGGTGGCCAGAGAGCCAGAGGGGGGGGGGACAATTTGACACATACTCATAGACAATGTACTCAGTACAACAAGATTCTCCCTTTTTAAAGATGGAAAAGGGAACAATGCTCATTCAGCCTAATCTTAAATTATATTAGTCTTCTTTTTTTTTGGTGTGACGCATTCTAATGTTTCTTGGAGTGTTTGTGACACTACTATAGGTCACTACTATATACAATAACTGACATTAATAAACTGGCAACCATTGTAATGAAAGGATCCGTTGAGGAGTTTTTGGCGGGATTTCATCTAGTGCGGTTAGCAGTGTTGCCAACAGGGAGTTTTTAGAGCTAGATTTAGCTCTAAATGAGCTTGATTAGCTTTAAAAAAGTAGGTCTAGCTCTTTAGCCACAGTGGACATATGGCATACAACTCTGGGGTACTGCTAGCAATTCCAACATCCTTTGCATTCAAAGAGCCCAAAACATGATCCTTCGAACTATTAGCGATGCGCCATGGTATATCACTATTAATGAAATTCATGAACACCTGGAAATGTCAACAGTCAAGGAAGAAATAACCATTGCGACTCAGAAATACCGGGCTAGGCTGGAGACTCACCCGAACATCCTAGCAACACAACTCATGACTCGGAGTTATAACAAACGACTCAAAAGGAAAGACGTCCTATAAAGAGAATTAAGGAGGAGATGTCCTTACTGAAGGGCACACTCTGACACCCCAATGTTCAACCAACACATTTGCTTATAGTGGCACGCATTGATCGCAAATTACAATTAATAAAAAAAGCTCTTTAGCTCTACTTTTCTACAATTTTAGCTTTTTTTCTATTTACACTATGAATAAATTATATATATTACTAGCTGACCCAGCGAACTTCGTACGCCCTAAAAAAATAGGGGTTGTCCAGCGGACAAAATTGTGAATCTAAACCATTCTCAGATCCCCTTGAACACACACAAAAAATTTCATCAAAATCGGTCCAGTCGTTTAAGAGAAGTTCAGTGACATACACACTCACAGAAGAATTATATATATAAAGATTTTTAGCTCAAAATACTTGTTTCCATAGTCAAAATGTACCTACATTGTTTATGGTCGGTCTATAGTTATTCTATGATGGCGCTTTTGTTTATGGTTGGGTATTTCCCGATAATTTTCTAAATGTTTCGGCTGCTGTAAAAGTAGTATTATTTTATTACCTACGCAGTGTTAAGTTCGGGACATTTGTTAGGTATTATTTCGTAAGGTAGCGCAAAGAGCAGCCCTATACACAGAAGTTCAGGCAAGAATGGCTACCTGAACCTGAATTTCAAGGTTGGCTTCAAGCAGTAAAAACAGACCCAACCAAAGCGTTTTGTACCTACTTCAAAAGCGAGGTTAATTCTTTAAAAAAATGATATATTAAATCATATAAAAAGAAAAAAACACCTTGAGAGGCGAAACAATTTTCAGCGGGACAATCAAAATTATGAGTCTTCTCCATAACCGAAAATTTATATGGGGCAAATTCCTCTGAAGGATCATTGACCCTTTTTAAAAGTGCTCATACTGCAATATTACCTGTCGATCACCTTGGTGTATTATGTAAAAAACAATTCAAAGATGTTGAAAACTTAAAATCACACAGAACAATAAGTCCGCATTTTATAACCTAATTAAAAAGAGATATAGGCGATGGACCATACAGTTTGCTATTGGATGAGATGAGACTGATATCAGTATTACTAAAGTGCTCGGTATCGTAGTGCAGTATTACAGCAAAAAAATATTTGGAATAGTTTCGACCTTTCTATCATTAGCCGAAATAAATAAAAGTGGTCCCGAATCCATTACAAACGTTGTTCATATTGATTTTTAATAAATAGTATTTAAAAATATAATTTAGCTCTTTTTTAGCTTTTTTTTAGATAAGATCTAGCTCCCTTTAAAAATCCGAGTTGGCAACACTGGCGGTTAGATATTTCATAGTGGATATTGTGAAATAATATTTCTTTGAATCATTTATCCTTCTAAATGAAGACGATGGCTGCATGGCTCTGCCTTTGCCTTTTACAAGATGGGAAAAACAGATAAAAAAAGTCTAATTTATGTTGTCTCAAGTTGTCTGTGCTTTGAATGGAGGATTTTATTTTTGTGTGTGAGTGAGTCTCTGTTCGTCAATTTGGCTGACGTATTTTAAGACTGTAGTTTGTGAGCTCTTTAGATATTTAATTTATTTTTAAATCTTCAGTGCAATATGGATTTCTTCGAAGTGAAGTTAAAAATGAAATGGTGTCTATTCGCATGCGTTTTGGTTGTGGCTAATGCTCTCACCATTGAAGGTACGTTCAACCCACGTATCGAAAACAAAGTCATTTGTGATTTTTACTTGAACATTCTTGATGCACAGGTCATGCTTTATCTCTTTGACATAAGTTGAATAATTAGCGCTAAGATTATTTTATTAAAACTTTGTTCGCCCCTCTGTTTTAAAATTCTCGAAGCTCTATGAGGGCGATTAATAAAAGAAATAGTAGGTCACGTCACAAGTTATATTGAAGAAAATACGGCTTCTTTTCAAGTTACAGACTTTACCCTTCCTTTAACAGCAATTATCCTTGAATTAGAACGTAGTTTACCTCATGAAACAACGACGTAAATATTTTTAAACACGTGATAAGCTTTCTCTTCCCTCAAGTGCCTTTTTGTATACAATTATTAAAGTTTAGCTGAGGTGCTTTTTATAAATTTAACATGTAACATTTAAATTTGAAATTTATAAAATAGTACCTACACAATTTACAATGTTTATTAGATCCTGTTTGTTATTAATATTGTTGGAGACATACTTATCAAATACACCTTGTATAAAAAAATATATCTTACTTATAATGTAAATATCTTGTAACATAAATAATTTTTCTTTATTTAAACTTTCTAGAGTAATTTTATTACTCACTAAAGGTAAAATTGTCTATAAGTACTGAGAAATAACCTCATAAAACAACTAGCAACAGTTTTATTATATATCCATATTTGACAATGCTGCTTATATAGATAAGCAAACAAAACCATGTTAAACTTGTATACAATCTTTTATATTCAAAACAAAATACAATCCTTTTAGAAGGCCTAGACACAATTTCTTGCATATTTAAAGGACTCATTGATTTCATTGCACAGTTAATTACGGGCCCTTATTTATATTATATATTTTTATTTAAAGTCATAGTTAAGAAAACCCCTGGCAATCATAGATACAAAATAGTAACTAAGCTTAGGCATAATGATACTCTTAGTTCTAACAAGTTCTTCTTGAATACTGACTGTATGAATGATTTCATTGTTGTTCATAGCTTAAAGTATTCACAGCCCACAGCTACAGACAGCTGAATGACCATTTCCTGCTCTTCAATTAAAAATAATCATACTGCTTAATAAGTAATTGTCGCAACATATACCCACATGCACTCTTGATTAATCCATGTAACCATAAGCTGTTTGGCTCTTCTGTGCATATTAGGGTTGTTTGTCTGCAGTAAAACGTAGCCTATATGTTAATCCAGGGTGTCAGCTAACTCCATACCAAATTTTATTAAAATCGCTCCAACCGTTTATATGTGAAGAAGTTACAAACATACACACTCACAAAGTTTCACCTTTATAAAATGAGTGTGATGTTATAATCATATGTAGCTCTACTTATGATTATGGAAGAGGTTCAATTGCCTTTATATTAATTGCCTTATTTAATCATCAGTGTTCTTGTGTGAGATACCCTGCTTAATAGAATGAGCATCTGCATTACAAGTACTGTGATATCTTAAGTTCTTTTCATCGTTTTAGTTCCTCTGTGTGTTGATTGGTCTCTTTCGCAATTAGCTTACCTAAATTCTGTTTATAGTATGTCATTGACTTATTGAAAACTATCGTAGTAAATATATAATATACTTATAATTTTATTTATCAATAAAAAAGATAACCTCTTTCACAATTATTCATGTACATGAATTCATATATTAAAACAAAAAGAGAAGATATGGCACTCGCTGCTCAAAAGTGAACCGCTGAAATTGTGGTATATGACCACAATTCGTTTTAGTCACAATTGGGTATTCAAACATGTTGCATGTGCACTCAATAAAACAATAAAGCATATCTAAAAATAAAACAATGCTTTCAATACAAAGTTTTATAAAGAACACAAATAGTTCAAGATCAAATAACAAATTTCACAGCAAGGGTTTTCATTCGTAAAACTTTATAAACATTTTGTTCTCTAAAATCAGTGTTTGTAATGAATGTTATTTACTTATTTTATTTTTGCCATTTGTTATCAAAAAAAGGATAACAATACAGCTAAGCGGTTGCTAGACAGAGAAAAGAAAACACCGTCGGTTGCCAAGCGATGTGAAGTCTCCGTTTCACTCATGCTGCGTTGAAGCGTACAGTTCTGTCTCGCTCACTGGATTAAATGATTATTTACAGAAGTGTGCCTGTGTGAAAGTAGCTTATGTAGTTGAGTCAGGAACTTTTTTTTGATGCTTCTATGACTGTTCCGTATCTTCCATTTTTGTTTCAATCTAAGCATGACTTCTATTTATCTGAATAAGTCATTAATTTATTTAAGTCAGTTATAGTAAGTACCTAATATAATTATGTAGATAATTTACATACTATCTTCTCTATATATAAAAATAAATCCATTTATCCTTTAGTTAGACACACCATAACTTGAGAGTAACTATTCCATATATTTTAAAATGATAATTGGGATCGAACCACAATTTATTTGGCGAAACTAACTAAATAAAAGACTAATTTGCGGTAGCTCACTGCTGAAGCTTGTACATAGACATAGTATGTTATGATAAACTGCTAATTCGTCAAATCGATAAATATCAATCGCTTGAATGTCGCGGAATTCTTGACGTTATAAAGTGCTTATTGGTATACATTAGACGACGGAGCGTTATATGTTGATTAGTGAGTCACATGGACGTGACCAGAGGCCAGTGTCTGTCGCTTATAATACGCTTGCGACGGACAATGTTTATAAACATTTTTGTTATAGGCAGAGTAGACGCGACACTGATGGCGAGGACATGACGGAACTAAAACACTTTATCATTAATTCATTTATATATATCCTTCACATCACATCAGCGATCCTGCATGGCGATACGAAGCTCGCTGGGTCAGTTTATAATTTTATAAACTGCTAGTTGCTGCTGGGTATTTCTTCAGATATATGCAATCGTGACGTCCTTTCGAATAATTTGTATTATTTAAAGTTTATTGACTCTTTTTTTCGGTATATTTAGTAAAATACGGTCTTTCACTTGCTGTTGCTTTAAACATAGTTGGTATATTTCAATTGATCTGTCTTTACGATCATTTAAAAGTGACGATTTATCATTACCGTGGTTGTTTCGAAATCAGAGTATAAAATAATTCGTTACCTTAATTAAAGAGAAAATTAAAGAGTTATTATTATGTAATACTTTCCATCTATGCCAGGGTTTTTGTAAATTATATCTTAAAGAAATATCAGAACAATAATATTAATCTCTCAGGGCTCAGTTAATAATTGCACTTTCCACATTGCATGCTCCATCTCTTACATTTCATTGGGAAACAGATAATGTTAAGTCACATTTGCACATTCTTTAGTTTTGAAGGGTAAAGCGAACGAGATAAAGGTTTGGGTTAGGTTAGGTAGGAATAAAGTTTGTAATTATAATCAGGAGGCTTCAGTAGTGTAGATCCAAAATAGCTTTTTAAATGAAATTGTCGTTTGATGCAAATTACGACGCTCAACTCAGTCGCCCACGGTTAGTTTATTCACGTCAGCTATCCATAAATTGGAGTTTATTAAACTCTAACAGGACATATAGTAAATATTATGAAAAATAAATATTTTGCCCCTGCTGATGATAAAGCCACGAAAGAGGCCAGGACGGGAGTATACATACAGAGCTTTCCCCTCTGTCGAGTTGGGCATAGAAACGATACATTTGTGCTGGATTTAGCGATGTATTGTGCCATTGTTTATGTATGAGTGTCGTAGTTAAAGTTTTGTTTTATTTATATGCGTGTACATTAAACTGTGTTTGCGTGCTGATATTCTAAAAAAATACAGAATGATTTGAAAAGAATTATGTCGCTATAGCTTCTCCCTTTCGTATTGCTCTAGATGATCCATCGATAGTCAGATTACATACTATATTATTACTATATGGGCTTTCATACAATTTTGAACTATTTTGAATGCCTCGCAGAGTAGGCAAACCATCAAAAAAGGTTTTCCAGATAGGGTGTGTTACAGTTAGTATATGTATATAATCATAACAGATATTCCGAGAGTAATCGTTTTTCTTGCGTACTAACAAGATTTGGTGCTGTAAGTATCTATAGGCGGCAGTGACCATCTATCTACGGCAGTGACCATCTGTCGTTTAGGTAGATAGCTCATTTCATTTGCCTTTATAAACACATAATAATAATAATAATAATAATAATAACTTTTTATAAAAAAGTATCATGCTCATTCATAATGAATATTGGATTCTGAGTTAAGAGTTCCTTAAGAGTTCCACCCCGCCGCTGAGTAAGGCGTAAAGGGTATGTGCTACTCTGTTGGGTGTCCTTTATATATATTGTGACATATTCACATCTCTTTAATTAATGTATTCAATACTAGCGGTCGCTCGCGACTGCGTCCGCGTTATCTTTAGTTTATTGAGAATCCCTCAGGAACCTTACATTTTTCCGGGGTAAAAAGAATTCTTTGTGTCAATCTGTGTGATAAACTATACATATTCTGCCAAATTTGTACCACATCCGTTCAGCCGCTTTTAAATTACGTAAAGGATTAACATGCATACAAACTCTTTCGCGTACTTTTTACACAAAACGAATCGAAGCGTGCGTCGCGTCGCAAAGCTTATAGAAAAGACAGGACACCGACCCGAGGCTTCATCATTTTGTATGAAACTGACCATGTCTGCGCTCCGATAGGTATATACTATTATAGGAAATATATTCTAAAACCTTTATAGTTTCCACCATAGCCAACCATAATACCTCTTTCTCCCTTTGAGTCCCACTTCCTTCTTTTCTCTACTTTTCCCTTTTCGGTTTAACACAAATACTGCTGTATTAACCGCCTCTGCTTACAGTTAGTTATGTAGGGTCTTTGCGCACAGCATTGTTCTGGCAGCTTCAATAAGTGTTCTGTTCTCTTGTTCCGCTTTTCCAGTTTGCTCCGGTGAGTATGCTACTGTGTACTTGATGGATAATACCAAACTTGGAAAATATCTCTTGCATTTCTTTATTCACA